CAAAGGCCTATGTCAGTGAAAACAGACTTATGGTATGCATGCTGTAGCAGCCTGTTTGTATCCTTGAAAGCTGCAAAAGGGCTGCCATCACTGACTTATGTGTTGAGGGCTTGATCCTCAGCTTGGCACAAGTGAGAGGTAGAGGAACCTTTAAGAGTGGGATGTATTAAGTCATTGTTGTGTGCTCACAAAAGAGGCAGTGAGATGCTAGTTTCTTACTGTTTCTTATTTTGTTTCCTGAGTACTATGAGGCAAGCAACTTGTTAGACCAACAGACCACAGATGCAGGCCTGCAAAAGTATAAACCAAAGTAAATCTTTTTTCTTATGAAATTGATTAAGCTCAGGTATTTGATATATTAATGGAAAGCTGACTAATACACTTCTATAACAAAAAAAAGGAGTCAATTCTGCAGTAATCTGAAGGAAGCCTGATAGAAGCAGATTCTTCCCTACCTGAGTTTGTATGTGAGAACAATAACCTATATACAGTTTAAGTGTTGCCTTGGGAAATCCTAAACAGAGAAACTAAGTTTGGCTGATCCTGGACTCTTGGCCTTAAACATGTAATATTTTAAGCTTTTAAATTTATGGCAATCTTTTTATAATGGAACAAAACACTAATCAGCTCAAAAATACTTCATTTTGTGGGTTAAAATCCTGTGTTATTTTGTTGCTCAAATTGTTTCACCTTTGACACTAGAAAGAAGTCTTCCACTTGCTCTCTGTGTTCTGTGGACAAGCTGTGTTCTATTTTGTGTTTTAAGCACCACATACGCCTGATTCATCTTGTGTTTATCTTTTCCCAGCCCTTCTAGAAGCCTTGAGTTCTTTTATTGGAGAGTGGTACTCTACAGCTAAGCTCTGCATACTTGTTTGTCTCATAGCTACTGGGGTACTAGTGCTTTTAAGCCCTCTTCATACAGAGGTAGGAACTATATATCTGAACACTAACTCACACAACTACATGTAAGTTTATTTTGATATTTGTGTATAAACAAGTTTATGTAAACATCTGTACTTCCAGTGGAAAACTAGAGTGCATTTTAGTGTTATTTGTAACTACTTCAACTGTGAGAATTCTGTCACTATTTAAATTTCTTTGCTTCCTTTATTCCATTATGCATACAGAATGATTTTAAAGTTACTAAACTTTAAGATGGACTAAATGTGTTTTGAATTATGAGATGGACATGAGCCTTATATGGGCCAGTGGCAGAATGTTATGGATTAGATCTAAAATATCTCCTCCCTGTTATCTAATGTATCCAGAAGTAAACCTTTCAGAGGTGCTTGAATCATGGAGGGGCAGTAATACATTTATAGCTGAATGCGCTATTAGGAGATGAGACCTGGTTGGAAGGAGGTAGGTTACTGGGGTGTGCCCTGCAAAGATACATTCTTGTCCTTGTCCCCTTTCTTTCTTCTTTCTTCTCTGTCTCCTTCCTTATGTTCTCTAAGAAGAGCATAGTGTGCTATTGCATGCCCTCCAAAGTGCATATACTTATTTCAGTGATGAAAGTATATAAGACTCAACCATATTGGAGAACATTCCACAAAAGGACTGATCTTCAACACTGTCACAATCATAATGCATAAGAAAATATGGAAGGGCTTTTACAGACAAGAAGAAATTAACTAGGAATAACAGTACGGGGTTAAATGATCTCAGAAAAAGGACTTTTACTAGAAAATTGACAAAATTCAAATAAACTTAATTATATCATGGTAAACTTAAATTATAGTGTAAACTTGATTATATCATGGTTATGTAGGATGTGTCCTTTAGGGCTGGAGGCCTATATATAAGGCATCCTTGATTTTATAGCATGTTTCAAAGTCTAAAAGTAATTCAAATGGAAAGATTTTTTTAAAAATAATTATATAGATTTAGGCTATCCTTTAACTCAACAACAGTACAAACTGAGATAACTTATTGATGCTTCATTTTAGTTTGCTCTGCCAAATTTTTTCACAATAATGTGTACATATTCATTAAAGAATAAACGTAAGCATAAAATGATATTTATTCTAACTGAAAGTATTATTTTTTTTATTTGTATTTTTTAAATTGTGCTTATTATCGATATATACAAAAGAAGAACAAAGACTTACAAAACCATTGGACTCTAATGACCCCACAAAATTGATTTGGTGATTTTACATGCCATATTCTCTTAACATAAATACCAAAATGTTCTTTAAAGGGTATGACTTACAGTAACATGTATAAAAGTGCATAGTTTTGAAGCTGTTTACTTATTTTAGTTGATTCAAAGAGCTCTAAATTTTCTCCTTGATGTGGACCATGGATAAACTACATTTTACAAGCACATTCTCTGCTTTGTGTTCTGCTGTGGTACTACTTGAACCTGTGTGTATGGAACATGAAGTTATCTCCTAGTAAATATATTTACTTAATAATTATGGAAGTAGGTAAAATGGTAGAAGATAAAAAGAGAAATTTAAACTGGCTTGGACATACCTGTCTTTAACAACAAAAAGCTGTTACTTGTTTCTTTAACAGGATTAATTTAATTCATGAATTTCTCATTGCTTCAATAAGACTTCGTGCTTAAAAGTGCACCAAACAACCTGTACTGGTACTTGGATGTGGCAGTATTTTATGAATCATGGGATAGGTTTCTAGTAGCCTTTTTTATTTTTTCTTGAAATATTATATAGAAGAACAGTGTGTCAGACATGCTCAGTATAAGCTGAGATGCCCCATGTTAACATACAATTGTGTCTTGTTACATTATGAGTCTATGAATCCATCCTGTCATGCAGTAGTGATCATTATAATGTAAGCACTTATGGTTTTACAGCAGCTGATTCTCTAGTGACACTTTTAAAAGTCAGCATTTGACTGTGAAGTATGATTATAGATTGGGGCCATTGGATACTTCATAGGAAGCAGGTGACCCCACAGCGGACATACAACCTCTTATGTAGCTCTGTGGCCAACTCGATAACCAGTATATTGCTCCAGAATGTTAAAAACTTTTACATTTAGTTATTTGTCATTAGTACTAGTTTGCTATAACTGTGTTAGGCAAAGTAGATTCTATGCTGTTGGTCAGACTTTTATCCCACTGGTTATAATGCTCATGTAGGAACTTGTGGTTTCACAGCGCCTGTTCAGGTCTTTGGTTTTTGCTTTATCTGCGAACAAGACTGGCAGTGGAATACTCAAAACATTCAGAAATATATTCGTAAGTTGTATGTCCTTCTCTAAAAGTACAGGACCCAAAGTCCCTAAAAACAACTTGATGATTGTTTTAAAGCAGTATTTTAATAGCTGTTTATGCCTATTGCATAAACTAAAAAACCTTCCTGTCTATGACTGTCAAAGATACAGCCATTATTAGTTAATCATGAGTAGCAGTCCCAAAAGAAGCCAGGCTAGAGATATCATGTTACAGCAACACAAGACTGTGTGTATTAATACCTACAGTGGTACAACTGGTAGTGATATTAAAGATGTTCATTTCCTCTGTACTGTTATGGTTCTTTTTTAGAGCCATAATTACCTATGCAAGAATAAATACTATATAGCTTGAGATAGCATGATCATTTGAATACCATACCAGCAAACTGTAGATATGTCTATGTCATAGATAAATATATGTTTCTATATCACAGTCACACAGGTATACATCTGTGAATATTTACCTTCCCTTATTGTAATAGAAGGAAAGGATAGAAAATAAAATAGCATGGTCTTCATGCCATGCATTCATGATTAAATTCAACACTTTAATTCTGTTATATTTTCACTTCTAGAAATGCTTTTAAACCTCTGAATTAGAGCATGGGTTGAGATCATCAGCTACCTATGATGATTGTTACATTTCAAAATCCTATCTCTTGTCTTATGTATCGTCTTTTATCAATAAAATGTTTCTGAGTTACTTTTTACTCATTGCTGGGACAGAATACCCAACATTCAAAATTAAGGAAGGAAAGGTATATTTAGCCCACATTCTGTGGAGGTTTCTGTCTCTACTCAGCTGGCTCCCAGGCAGAGTGGCACTTGGCAGAGAGTTGCAGTTCATGGCAGCAGAAAACAGTGAAGAGCAAAGGGAAGGGCAGCAACTATGGCTTCTAGCCAGCCTCTCTTTTCTCCTTATATTGTAAACAAGCTACCCTAGGACTGGGGGTGTAGAGCTCACACAATGTCCATGACCTCCTCTTGCAGAGGATGAAGATGTTTACAGACTAAGAATCCTGGCTGTGTGCTGAGTGACTTAATTAAACTTCTAAACTTCTCAAGTTGACGCAGTGTATCAAACAGTACAAAATGCCTTTTCATTCTTATTCTGAAATTATGATTTACTATGTGTTCATCATATTAAGTGAGGGATTAAAGGAGTAAAAGGCATGATTACTATCTCTAGAAATTCACGTGATACATGGAATAAACTAAACAAACATGAAATACTTAGAAGTTAAATGGATGTTCTTGCTAATAATATTTCCTTTTTTTTTAATGATACATACTGCAGTTTACTTAGTATACCCAGTATGCTTTATGTTTTCCATTGGACGTCGGTAAGTTTATGTTGAGTCTGATTGACTCTATAAAAGATTTTTTAAAAGTCTGTTGATATTAATATATTGATTGGATATTACTAGTGCATAGCTGTCAGCCATTCTACATACTTGTCTACCTCCATGCTAGTTAAAACTCAACAAATTGAGTTTGCCTCATTAGTCTGGGATTTTGATAAATGTATTGAAGTATATATAAAATATGTATCTGGTTGCTTCATCTGTTAGTTGGGAACTCAATACCAAATTTCTCCAGATGTTTTGTTAAGTACATTTATCTTATTTATCCTTCATTTGATAGACAAAAAATAATAGACATATTACACATTTTTTAGCGCTTTCACTGTATGGGTCCATACCTTTTGCGATCATAAAATTATATGTAACTGTCCTGGTTTTGCACAGTTGGAGTATGTTCTCATCCCCACTTTCCTTCATGTTTTATAGGGAGTCAGATGCCCCCTCAGCCACCTGGAAACCAATCAGAATCCACTTCCCATCCTGCCTTGAGCCAGTCACCAATGCCACAAGAAAGAGGTGAGTCCTCAGTTCACATCATACTTGCCTATCATGTTTTGAGTATGTAAGGCTTATATGATTCTTATAATTTCATCTCCTTATAAAGGATTACCTTAAAAGTTCCTGTGTTTCCTGTATGAGATAAACAAGAACCTCCCTGTAACAACATGGAGAGGGTAGATTCTTCTTATAGATTGGATGACATTTTCCTAAAGTATAGTTCAAGGCCTGAAGAGTATGTGTCTGTATAGCATGATGAAACATAGTCTATACATGATTATAATCTGATTTGATCTACATATATACTGGTAACTCTGTGCATTTCAATTTGGATATTGATAAATTTTTAAATGTATGTGTGTATATGCATGTTTTTGCTGTTTTTACCAGCTACTTGTTCCATCATATTTAATAGCAAAATTATAAACTCACTGCAAGACATAATGACTTAAAATTGTAAGGTCTTTGGACTGAAATACACCTGAAAGCTAGTTCAGTTTGCAGATAAAGAAACTGAGGACCAAAGAAGTTGTCCTGACTTCCTCATTCTCAGAAGCTAGTTAGTGCCTGAGCCAGAAAAAGAAATTTAGGATTTTCCTGCCACTTTTGAATAGATGTTTTCCCACATTAGCAGATTTACTATACTTCATTCAGTGATTTATGTCATACCCAGGGCATATGTGTGCTGCTTTGGTGAAACTACAAGCTAGCCTTTGCCACCTTTGCCCTACCCCCTACTACTATCAAAGTTTGGTTGGTGTTGTGTAGCTGGTGGTGGTGATGATTGTATTCTGGACTGGTATAGACCAAGGATTCTGCACAATCTGGTGCTGTAGCAGTCATTTTCCATGGCTTGTAGTTCCAGGCCTGCCTGCCATGTTCCACAAGAGATATCATTTTCCACCATGCAGATTTGGAGGCCAGAACATGCCAGCTTGGTGACTGACATTCAAGTGGTTCTTGACCCCTGACATTATTAGTGTTAAGACTTGAAAGTATAGACAAGCAAATGTGAAGGTCAGGGTCACAATGAATAAAATAAGTTAAACTTTTGACTTAAACTAATGCATTTTCAAGGCAAAAACCTAGGCATTAGCACTAATGTGACTCTATAGAAATTACCATGTTTGTTAATTGCCTCCTCTTATAGGCTTTATTGCCTGTAGTATGATTTAGGTGACATGACAGATACATAATAATGTGAATGGTTATTATGACCATTTTCTTCAAGTGGCACATAATAATTTAACAAGCTGCTAAATCTGAATTTCTACAAATATTTCCTCAAACGTCCTCGAAAAGGCTGTGCCTATAGTGTACGTCTTCTGTTCTTCTATTGGTTAGTTAACTGTCTAACAAGCAAAACTTCATATTTTAATATGGTTTGTAATGCTAAATCATGCATTGTCATACTTCAGTTAAATGCCTTCTGAAAGTGAGTAGCAAAAGTGGAAACAAAGTTTTTTAATTTGTGAGAATTTAGGAAGAAATGTTATTTCCTAATAATTTGATAGAATATAAACCCTTTATTTTACTATCATTTGTGTACCAACCAACTGCTATGCCTCATAGTTAATAGATCAGGTGAAAATATCATTTCTCTATTACTAAGCACTAAAATAACCAAAATCAAACAGTTTATTTTATATTTATTTTAACAAATAAACTAAAACAGTAAGATTCTATGGTATACTTTTATTCTTTAATGTATCAGAAGATATATTTTCTTTAATGGCAAAGATAAGAAACACACTTAGACACAAGCCCACAGAGCAAGAGCGAGTGTTCCTGCTGCTCTGTGGAATTTCTGCCCAATATCCTCATGGGGCCCGGTGGTACTGATTTTGCCACCCAGGAGCCACATCGCTCCAGGCTCAAGCAGCTGCATTCATGCTTTGGTGTCATTCCCTTCTGCTTGGTTCCTGTGTACCTACTTAGTGAGAACATACATTATAAATGATTTACTCTGAGTTTCACAAACCTCATGCTACCCTGGGATCTGAACTTCCTTGACATCTACAACCAGTTTGGTGCCCATATACCCTGATTACTAAGTAGCTTTCTACCCCCTGCCATCTCTACCCATCTCTTCTCTGGTTTAGTAGACTTTTTGCCTGGTCATTCTATTGAGTCTCATCAAAAGTCATCACTGACTAATCCATTCTCCACATTGTACATAGAAGAAAACAACTGTAAGTTTCTACAACTTTATATTTTTCATACATAAAAAGTATTTGTATAAGTAAATATGGCATTGCAGATTACAGAAAGGAAACACTTCAGATGTTTATTGACCTGCTTATTTCTTTGTGTAGTATTGTCTCCTTTACATTTTCATTTATTTTCCAATATAAAACTTGATGTTTTCTACTATAATGTTTTACTAGTAAAGAAAAATAAAGAGAATTAAATTATTTAGTCTTCATTACTGACATAAATTTTAAAAAGGAAAAGTCAAAACTCCAATTTGATAGTCTATAGTAACACACTTGCCTTTTTGTTATTATAAATCAAATCCCTCTATATACCTCATATAATATAAAAAATTGCTGTTAATTCACTTGACTAAAAAAAATGAAGTAATATAAATTTGGTTACCTAGGACTAGAGGAGTAATAATAACTGTAAAATGCTAAAAGAAAATTATAGTGAACTTGTTTACATTAGTTTTACTTCTTAATCTTTAACATATATTTCTTTAAATTCAAAGCACCCCATAGGAAATGACTTATTAATGTGCTGCTCTGTTTTTCACCAAGACTTAGAGGGAATATAGAGTATCCATCTGAGTAGATAAGTAAGTGTAATGAGTATTAACATTAAAGTGATCACATTTTTAACCCCTATAAAGTATTAAGCTTAATGAAACTAGCAGATGCCCTTCTGGTTTATTGGATTAGTCATTAGTTGAAAATGCTGAAAGAAAGCTTATTTATTTGGACAGATGTAGAGAGGTCAGAATTAATTTTTTGAAACCCTTTTAATTGAATTCCCTTTTCATTTTCACAGTGGTGTCTAGTTAAATATTCATGTTAATGCTGGTAGCTTTCTAAAGGTTTAACTAGATCTAGAGTCTCAAAATCAACACAGGTGGTTAACCCTTTTCATCTAGCATACCAGCAGGGACTTCAGAGCTAGTCTGACAGTATTTGAATAATTAGAACATAGTAATCAAGATTTAATTAGTCCTTCAGATAAGCTGGAACAGAACCTATAAGAACTTTTCTTCCCAGACATGGATTGTGAGCAGAACTGATGCTGCTGCGGGACTCTGATGTGCTGGGAAATACATTCTGTGCTGTAGGCAGTTCTTTGGCACCATTCTGTGACCATCAGATCTACAGAGGCTTACTAGGTGAAGTCTTCCAGAACTGTTGAATAATAACACAAAACCTTGATTTCTGTCCCCCTTGCCAACTATGTGGGGACCTGTCTTCATGATAAGCAGGTTGTGCTCCTTGGAAGTTAACTATCTGTGGTACCAAAATACACAAGCTGGGCAAGTCATATTTTTTCTATATATTTGTGAAAAGACCAGGTGAAAAGAAATAGCAGGGGCCTGGCCCTAGCTCAGTCCTTTAAGTGGCTGCTTCCACAAAGCTGTCAGCCTCAGGTTGCTGGAGTTCAAACCTCACAACTCTCCCGCTGGCCAAAAGTGCCCTGAAGGCATTTGAGGAACCAAAAAAAAAAAAATCCTTATTAAGGGGCCAGGGAGATGGCTCAGTGGAATAAGCGCTTCCCTGGAAAGCACAAG